TTTTTATTATTCTTATATTTATTATTATTATTATTTATTTATTTATCTATTCATTCATTCATTCATTCATTCAGTTTATTATTATTATTTTTATATCTGCCCGGTGCAACGCTGGGCAATGAGCTCTGACGAGCAGCTCGCAGCCGTCGTCGGCTGTGCTGCTCCTGCACCACGTCTGGGCTCGGATCTGCAGCGAGAGGGACGGTGCTAGGTTGCCAGCCGAGCACCGAGCCATGAGGGACTAAAGCAGAATTAAGCAATGCAGCTAATTAATTGTACCAGCTGATTTCAGCACGGGCTGGAAGGCTGCGCTGGGCTAACTCCCCGCCTGGAGCATCCTGGAGGCCCGCAGGAGGCTACCAAAAGTGCTCTCCAGGTGGCCAAGCACATCTTAAATCACCAAAATGCAGAAAATTCAGGTCGGGAGCATGGCAGCGAGGACGGCTGTGGTCACCCTGTGCAGATTTTGGGGCCTATCGACCCCGAAAGAGGCAGTGGGAGGAGGCTGGAGGAAAGCGTGGCGTTTAAGCACCTCCTGCTCTCGGTGCTGTTGTTGTTGGAGCTCTTCCTGGCACTCTCTGCCTGTGTTTTTCAGCTCTCAGCTTCGGGAATTATTTTCATGGCTTCACCCAGGGCTGTACAGGGTGACGATGGGCTTCAGCTCTTGTCCCCGGCTCAAAGCCACACGAGAGGGCTGGGGAAATGCATCCCAGGAGGACGTTATTGCTCAGCATCCATCAGGAAAGCAGAATTTGCTCCTAAGTCAACAAAAAGATGCTGGAGCATCACTGGCCATAGCTGCAGTGGGTCAGGGGAGGTGACCCTTTCAGCTGGAGATCCCTTCCCAAAAGGGATCAGCACTCAGGAATTCACAGCGAGTGTCCGTGCGAGGTGGGCAGGAGGCTTTTTTGGGGGTGTTTTAAAGGTAGGAGTAACATAGGATGGAAAAAGGATGAAAATAAGTGTGAGAGTGAGCCCAGCACAAGGAGATCTACATGCCCTATTCATATCTGTGTTTTTAAGGGATTTATTAAATTTCTGGCAAATGCAGTGTTTTTACGAAGGACCACATGATATCTCTCACCTTTCATTAGCTGGGAAAGAATGACAAGCACAAACACGGTACCACCCTAAACCCAAATAAACCTACATCCGCCAACACATCTCACATTGCTTTGCTACCCAAATCCTCCCCGGAATTGGGCTCCAAACTTCTATTAGATAAATCCTGCTGGGGTGAAAACAGCTCCGCGAGAAACCTAAGCAGCCAACTGAGATGCTGTGTGGTGGTGTTTTTTGTAATAAAAGAATAAATTCCTCCTCTCCCGGGTCAGAAACTTCCCTGCGTTACTGTTAGCCTTCAAAGCCATTTCCATCAAAAGGAAAAAATAAAATAAAATGAAATAAAAAAGGAAGGCAGGAAGGAAGGAAAGAAGGAAAGCTCAGATCCTCATGCCAGGGATGCTCATGGCCACGGCAGCCCCCAAATGCCATGGGACATGGGGTGCCCCGTGCACCCTGCCGTGGGGACCCGGCTGCACGTCACCAATATTCGTGTCCAAACCCTGCGATTTGCTTTTTTAGCTCTGCCCGAGCAGCAGGAAGCAGTTTGATGAAGTCTGCAGCGAACTCCCTTGGGGAAAATAAGCAAACAGCCACTTTCCTGAGAAACAGTGGGCTGGATTTTAATAATTTACCTCCGGCGCTTGCCGTTCCTGCAGGTACGCACGAGGCATCAGGACGGGGAAGCTGCTCGCCCGCTCGCTGCCCCGTGGTGAGGCTGCCGGGGCACCGTGTGTCCAGCAGGTTTGCAAGCCTGGGGGATGCCAGGGGTCCTGTGCCCGTGTCACCTTCGCTCTGCACAAATCCAGGAACAATTCCCCCTGAAGACAATTCCACTTACAGCTTCGTTCACCCACAGGGACTGCAGGATGTTTGCCGCTCGCAGGTTATTTTAACCCCCGCTGCTGTGCGTGCTGTCATTTCCTTTACCTCCACGCTGGCTTTGCCCATTGCCTATTGTCTGCCAGAGCCCCCCAGGTGTGCTGAAACCCCACAGAGCAGCTGCTGGGGCTGAGGACTGCAGGACTGGCACAGGGAACCCCCAAAACCCTCCCCAAGGGCACAGACAGTGCCTTCGGTACCCGATTCAAGCCAGGCAACGTTTTGTTCCCTAACTCCAACACGCACACAACAAAAAAAAAAAAAGGGAGAAAGATCTCAGATAAGAACACAAATGTTTTTCTTCCCCCGGCTCTGAGCGAAGAAGTGTTTTATAAATCATTTCGGATAAATAGACACAATCAAATCTTTGTTTCCAGTTCACGCTGGAGATACTGTGCAGGCACTGATAGCTGCGCCCTGCTTCGCGCCGTGCCAATAAATCTGCCATTTGCAGCACGGGGGCTGCCAAGAAAATCCCCGTGGGCCTGCTCTGGTTTCAGCAGAGGATATATGAAAGAGGCTGTATAAATAGCGCAGCTTTAGCCCGCTCCTTCTCTCCCAGCTTTTGCAAACTCCAGCAAGTTTCCTCCAGGCACTCTTTACAGCAGGCACGGGCGGTGGGTGCTGTTTGTCCGTGCAGCCCACGTTCCAGGTGTCCGTGCTGCTACCTCGTTGCTCTCCGGGCACCGCTGGGAGATGGGGAGCGGGGAGGATGGCACAGCACCGCCTCGTAGCTCCTGTGGACCCCCAGCCCTATTACAAACACACCCACGGTGGCCAAGACCCACAGCACAGCCCCTTAATGCTGCTTGGTCGTGTCCTGGCTGTGGATTTGAGGGAGTTATTGCAGTTATCGCACACCCCGTGAAGTTATTGCACATCCCATGCAGTTATTGCACACCCCATGCACTTATTGCACATCCCATGAAGTTATTGCACACCGCATGCACTTATTACACACCCCAAGCACTTATTGCACACCCCGTGGCACCGTGTGCTTGTGCTACAAGTGGCTGCAGCTCGGGCATGGGCCAGAGCCTTGCCAGGATGCAGGGCACAGCAATCTCCCTCCTACCTTTGTATACAACAGTGCAAATGATTTGGTTTTTGGGGGAAGCTGGGGAAATTCAGGCTTTCCCCCTGGTAGCAAGATTTGTTTTGGTGATCCGGAGATAACTCAAAATCATGTAAATACAGAGCTAAACGTGCTATTGTATATATAATATATTATATATATACAGGTACATAGGCTGCTGGAAGCCACGGTGCATCCATGCCACAGACAGGAGAAGGAAAAAGAGGTTCTTGTCTTGGTGGTTTTGCAGTTTTGCTATCAGACAGAGAGCATCCATCCATCCCTCCATCCATCTGTTCATCCATCCATCCGTCCGTCCGTCCATCCATCCATCCATCAATGCCACATCACCCTGGGGAAACCCAACACTCCGGGATGGAGGACTCCTGTCAAATAAAACCCCAAACACCCCTTTACCACGTAACAGAGGCAGAAATAAGGGAAACAACCAGCAGGCTCAGAGCTGAGCTCTGCGTAACACTCCACAAGGCTCAGCACAGGTGGGGAGCCTGTGGGAGCCGCTACCCCCCGCCAGCCCCTGGGACAGGAACAAAACCTATTTTTTTTCCCCTTGAATTTCAGGAAATTGGCCATTTTTTTGCTGCGGCCTTCCTGGAGAAACACCTGCTCTGGGAAACGTGCAGAGCAGCTGCAATCCGGCTCCCCGGGATGCTCCCTTTTCATCGGCGCCGGGTGGGTTTTCGGTGGGAATTGGGGATATTTGGCGCCGGGCTTTGCTGAGCTGCTCCGCTTGGGAATGTGAACCCACGGGGAAGGATGGGCTGAAGTTAGATGAAATGTCTCCATCATTCCCCTGGGAGCAGCAGCCCGTGAGCACCTCCAGCATCTTGCACCATCGTGTTGGTCCTGAAACACTGCTGGGGGGAAAGGCAGGGCTGGGGCCAGCTGGAACAGGGCAGGAAGGCAGGGAGGTCAGCCTCTCCCCCCTTGCAGGCTTTGTTTTCGCTGTGTTTCTGCTTCTGCTGATTGCGCTGGGCTGGTGAAGTCTTCTAGGATTGCGAGGGTAATAAAGTAATTTGTTATGAATTGGAGCCTTCAGTTTTTAGTGTCTCTTTGGAGGGATTTGCAGCTCTGAATTGCAGGGTGCGGGGACAGAAAGGAGCTGGGCAGCATCACCTTTCAGACCCGTATCGGAAAAACGAGCAAAAAAAGCACTTGAGCCTCAAATTCAGATTTTTGTAAGGGATATCCCACATTAAAAAAATAAATAAGGAGACAACACCGGGCAGAGAAGTTGCAGCCCCTCTGGAGCAAGCAGGATCGAGAAGCACAGCACCGCCCCGGGGGGCCAAAGCTGCCGAAACACGTGCGCGACCGAGGTGCAATGTGCCATTATGTGCAATTTCCTTTTCAGGTTTCCTTTCTTAATAATTATTCCTATTATGTAGGTGGACAGTCTCTTAATACAGATAAAGACCTTTGCAGCTGCTCCACCGTCGCCGGCCTGGTGTTTAATATGCGCTCTGTAATTAGCCGGAGGGGGGGAGGCCGGGGAGCGTGGTCGCCCCTTTTTCTCCCCGACCATTTTTAATCTGCGCCGCGCTCGGCTGGGGAGGGCTGATAAGCGTTTCTGCACGTGCCAAACACGGGCTTTCATCTCGCCTTTCGATTTTCCAGTGCCCTCCTTGCACAGCTTCGCCCCTGCAGGACCCCAGCGCGTTACAATTATCCACCCTGGGTGTCGTAGTGGTGCTTTTACGCTGCTCGTCTGGCCGTAAAAGGGGTGTCATCGGCCCAAGTGAAAATTTTAATAAATATACCATTGGTGAAAAACTAACGAGGCATTGTGATGCCAGGTGGTGTTATTTTGGGCGGTTTTATCCATGATGCCAGTGGCACCTGGGTGCTGCTGCCCGGGTAAGTTGGATTTGGTGATGGAAAAGTATACACCAAAAAGTGTGCAAGGTGCAACCGCAATAAAGGTGTCTTGGTGTGCCTGTGAAAGCCTCCCCAAAAAATGCTACTTTAAATAGCGATTTATTTGGTTTCCAGCACAGCAATTTCCACTTTAATACTTACTGGAGAGAAATGGCATGGAAATGTAACAAAAAGGCACTGGCGGGCTCTTGCAAAACGCAAATTTTGTGCAGTTTAATACCGACAGCCTTTAACAGCAAATATCACCGGTGCTTTTCATCTGGAGATCCACGGAGCACCACAAACCACTCACACACCATGCCCGAGAGGGCAGGAGAGCCCAAACATTAACAAATTTGGGCAGTGGGTGCGTACAGCATCCCGGTGGCCTCGCAGCTTGTGGCTCTCCTCCTCAATGACCACAAGTGATGGTTTGCACACCCCCTGCTTTGAGCCACCAGCACAGCACGCTGCTGTAGATAAAAGCCAAGCACGAATGGCCGCGTTGACATCTCCTGCAGGAAAAAAAATATATAAGGATTAGGCTGGGAGTGATATTTTCCCCGGAGACGCCCTTGCTATTCAAGAAACCATATGTTCTGCAGGAACCCTCCGCGCACGGCTTTTGACCCGCTCACCTCTCCGCGGAGATAAAGCCGTCGAGAGGGAATCCACCTCTGTTTGGTTTTAATTTACCAGGAATCAGGGTGCCTGCCCCCGCCGGACCAAGTGCAAATAGAGATGCCTCTGCCATCGCTGGCAGGAGGTTGTGGCCGGTGTGGCTCTCGTTTGCTTTGCAGCCCAAAAAACGAACGTGATCTCACCGAGACTTGCTCAACAGCACAAAGCCTTCAACTCAGAGAGTTTCGAGGAAACAATCCAAGAAAATGTTCCTTGCAAAACTCTTCCTTACGAGTACGGTCAGACAGTTTCTTGAACTCGCAGCCGGCTACAGCAATCATTTAATTCTGCGTTTGCTCAGAAACATTTCTCTCTTCATGCAAAACCGATAAAGGGAGACACTGCGGGGATGCCTTGAGTGGGATGAAACAGCGTGGCGTTATCAGCAGCTCTTGCATAACCTGTTTCAATTTTAATTTTTACCCTTAAAATCCTTTTTCTTGCGTGTTTCCAGGAGCAGCTGGTTTTTAACAGGAAGACGACTGCCGTCCTCTGCTTGCGTTTGTCCTTGAGAAGACATTTAGGGATCACGAGCACTGAAGTGAGGGAAAACAAAAGCTCTTCACCGAGGCTCTCGTGGCCTGGGCAGCATCAGCATCTACGCCGCCACCGTTCGGGCTCTGCTATCCACACACCATTTCTGCATTCCTCAGCCTCCGTCCCAAAACAAGGCATCCCCGGAGAGCTGTTCTCTTCAGCCAGAGGTCACGTCCAAACCAGAGGCTGCGCTGAAATCATGGAAATAATCCCTCGCTTTGGGAAGTCTTGTGACTAACTGATTCAGTCTGTTTTCTGAGCACTTCCAAGCCTCCGGATTTAACACCGCGCGGGGGCAGGAGCCCAAGGGATGCTCCTCCACGGGGAGGGCGCACCGTGCACGTGCAGCGGGACAGCGCAGAGAAAGCAGCGACGCAGAAGATCAACGGGAAATGGAAAATAAACACCTGCATTTGCAAACATTTTGAAGGCCGAAATAAAATAAAAACATCTCACGATTCAACGCAAGCCTGGTTAACAAAAGCAGCGTTAGCTTGCAATTGCCTTGATTGCGGCTTGCGCTATTCTGGGAACAACAGGCACTTGTGAACCAGGAGCTGCCACGGCTCAGCTCAGCAGCCTCCCCGATATTCCCCCAAACTCACCGGAGGTAATGAGCAGGTTGAAACAAGCTGACGAGAGTAATGCCAGCCTTCCCGCAGGGATAATGCGGCACCGCTGCGCCGCGCACGGCTCCCCGCTGCCCGCGGTGAGAAATTTCTGCAGGGGAAAGCTGAATTCATCCCCGAAATTTCTGCAGGGGAAATCCAAATTCATCCCTGAAATTTCTGCAGGGGAAATCCGAATTCATCCCCTTCCTGCAAGGCGTCCCCAAAAGCACCCCGTGGGATGGGTGTAGGTCCTGCTGCCCCGCACCTATTTGCTGCACCCCATTACTTATTCCCCGCGGTCTCTCCGGACCACGATGCACGTGTTTGTTTGCTTTTAAAATCAAATTAAAGTGTCGTAAACCCTTATCCCTGGCTGTTTTCTCGGAGGAAGCTTTGCAAGGCTCTTGCCTCACGGGGAAATGCCGCTCAGGTCATCTGGTCGGAGGCAAATTGCTTGCCTTTGACTCTGCCCTTGCTGGAAGATTTCAGTGTCATTAGCGCGGTATTAATGAGGCTGGGCGTGAAGGCAGGTGCTAAGTGCAAGCAGAGCGGCTCTATTAGGCTACAAATTGCCTCGTGCAGAGGGCAGCACGGGGCGGCTCGGTGCCCAGTTAACCTTTGCCCACGTGTGCGGCGTGGCTGGTGAAGCAGCGATGGATAATGGCATTCACCGGGGCGTCTCCAGAGGTGTCGCCGCTGTCCCGAATGTAAATCTTGGTGGGATCATCACCTTCCCCGTGCAGGGACGCGGAGTCGTGGTAAATGAGAGAATCAGAGAATTAAAGTCGTGCAGTGTCAGGCCTTGTGAACACACGAACCCCATCGCCCTGCCTTCGGGGGACACGGTGACTCAGTGCAGTGCAATTTTGCACTGAAGCAATAAGGTGGACGCACAGGAGCTGTAAAATGTGGCCACGAGCTGCAGTGCAGGCACACAAGAGCTGTAGGAACGTGTGAGGTGAGCCTGGGGTGAGAAGCCGGGCAGAAGAGGAGGAGCTGGAAACAAACCCAGGGGCACAAGGGCTGAAACTGAGCATAAGGATTAGAAGCGATCCCGCTTTCCTCTTTCCTCAGCAGCGGGGTTTCCCCGGGCCCCATTTGTCTCTGCTTTTCCACTTTCTCATGACAACGAGTGGGTTGTTCCCAGCACCCTCCCTTCATTTTCACTGCTTTTTCTTATTTTTTTTTTTGGAGATGCTTCCAATGCAGCCACATCCCAGCAGAGCCACCAGCCCTGCGGAGCTGCCTCCGAACTCAGGTGCAGCTCCATAAATCCCCCTTATCTCCTCTACTTTTTAAACAGAGCCTTCTTTAGACCAGGATTCAGGAATTCAACGCTCTGCCTGCAGGGAAACGTGCTGCTCCGTTCCTTTTCCATCTGGTGCTAGGGGGAAATAACCCCCCCTTAACCCTGTGCCTGACCCTGGGTGAAAACCTTTGGGTTGGAGAAGGGCAGGGGCCACTTCTAGGGGCCACAGGAGCTGGTGGGAACAGAGAAACCCCTTCCCCGAGGAGCACTGAGATGCCCAGCCCATAAACTGGGTGGACAGCAGGGTGACGGTGGCAGCACGATGCCTTTGGTGCTATGGAAATCACCAGCTCCCTCTGAGCTCTCTGACAAGGAAATTACCGGAGAAAATACCGCTGATGGAAACACGGTGACAAAGGAGCAGCAACCGAGCCCCGCCGAGGGGGAGCGATCCCCGCAAAGAGCCTCTCCTTTTAAAAAAATGCTTAAATATCGGTGTGGCTGAGCAAAAATAGCTCTCCGGGCACTTTTTGCAATCCTTGGACGAAAATCCTTTGGCAGTGTGGGGCATGCGGAGGCTCCTGGGTGCTGAGAGCTGACATCCAGGGGCTGCAGCATGGGCAGAGCGCAGCCCAGGGAGGATTTAAAATAAATAGCTTAATATATTAAATAGCTTAATATAGCTTAGTGTTTTTGACTACAAACCCCAGCTATTGGTGATTTGCTCTCAGCTGGCTCACGGAGAGGAGGAGGAGCCCGCGTGTGTTACGTCCTGCAGTAGTGCTCCCCAGCTCCAGTTAAAAGGGACAATTTTCTGTGCCGTGGGGTTCCCTAAAAATGAATTGTTTGCACATTTGTGTGCGTGTGTGTGTGTGTGTACACGTGTGTGTGTGCTGGGATGCACAGCCAGGTGGCATGGATGTTCAACGCTGCCCTCCTGCTTGTCGAGGTGCCAAGCGGAGCCTTTCTAGAGACCTTTCCAACCCAAGCCTGCAGTATTGTTCTTTCCCAATCACCAGCCTGTCTTTCTTCCCCTCTGGTCTCTGCTTTCGATGTATTCACCACTTGGAAATGCGTCCGGCTTCCCCTCTCTGTCCCTGGGGCAGCCAAGCTCCCCGCTGGATGCAGCTGCACTTTCTGCAGCATTGCTCTGCTTTGAGCCCCTGACCATTGTCATGGAAATGCAGTGCTTCTGCTCCTAGCAAAGAGGATTAGAAAAAAAAAAATCCTGATTTCAATTTGTAAAGCTGCTCTTTTCTTTAGGGTGGGGAGGTTCACTTTTTTTTTTTTTTTTTTCCCAGAAAACCAGGAACTTCTGTGGCCAAAGTCCCTCCAGAAACTTCAGCTCCATGGCCTGGCTCCTTTGCGTTCACCCTGCCAGGTGCCTAAGGACAGCTCTGCTCTGCCTCAGAGCTACTCTGGGCAAAATGATGACTAAAATCATGAAACCCATCATGCAACCTTTCCCATCTGGGCCTGAGCAGCAAGGGGAGGCTTTTTTCTTCACTGTTAGCCCACCTATTTTCCGGCACCAGCCCCATTCGTCTCACTATAGCTCAGCAGGTGCCTGTGATCTGTGGCCATAAATAATTTCAGCTCCCTGCAGGGCTGAAAATATAAATGTAAAAAAAAAATGTGAATGAAGTGCAACCGTGATAGATATCATCTCCTATACATAGAGATAAAATATGTACCGCCCCTAAAACCAAGGAGGTGTTGCTGCTGAAAAGCAGCAACAAATTTATTCTTTTTTTTTTTTCTCTTCCATTTCTGTGATTAAATATATTTAGGTAAAATGTAGTGAGGCGGCTTGTAATACCCCCACGTGCTGGAGGTGCGAACGCCTTGAAAACTCCTTGAGAAGACTGGAAGGCATCCAGCACCGGAGCACGAAACTTCCCAATGCAACCCACGGCAAGGATTCCCGAAAGCGACTGCTGGGGGCTGTAGCCATGGTGAACAGCCTGAGAAACCGGAGCGTGCTTGGGTGAAAAAAAACAGGTGGGAGAAGGCAGATAATGAGAGTCTTTTGGCTCAACCCCATCCCTGGGGCCTGCTGCCGGACTCGAGGAGAGGTTTGGATGCTGAGGGCTTGGTAGGGGGATGCTGGGGATGCTGCAGTGATTGGGGACGGGTGGGTGGCATGGAGGAGGATGGAGATACTGCGTGACATGGGGACTGGGATGATGTGACCAGCGCAGGAGATGCATCGAGGTGAGCAGTGTCCATCTGCAGGGATGCTCCTCGTCTCCTCCCCGCTGGATATTGGGCAGCAAAGCCCCCAGTGACCGTGGCCACGTCCCCACCTGCCCCAGCTTGCAGGAGGAGCAGCGCCAGCAGTCCCCGGGGAGCCGCACGCGGGGAAGCGGCCGTGGGCAGCGCTGCCGACCTTTAGCGCCCAGCCCACGGAGAAATAAAGAAACCAACCCAAACCATTACCAGGACCATTGTAGCATGAAACACAAAACCTTCGTCCCCGAGCAACACAAAGCTGTGTGTAGCACACCAGAGTAATTAATAAAATGAAAGCCCCCTTTCTTGCAGATGGATATGTGGGGAATAAAGGAGCTCCACTGCGCTGGGCTGTCATGCATCGCATGCTACATCTGTTATGGAAATCAGTGGTAGTGGGGCCTTTTGTTCAGGCTAAAGCCCTCCCAACAGGGATTTGGCTGAAGTAGATTTTCTTGTTATTAAACATGATTTCGAGCTAGTTGAGAGCAGATGCTCCCGCAGCATTTGGAACTAATAACCAGCCTTCAAGTGTGCAGCATCCCTTAAAAGTCTGGGATCGCCTGAAAGAGCGATTCCAGCCCGGAGATAATGCGCTGCCCTGGGTCCCTGCTTTGCACATGAATGCTGCTGACACCAGATGAGCCTCCTGGCTCCCTGCAGCCCCCAGCCCCTGCACAAACACACACACACACACACAGACACACACACACAGACACACACACAGTGCTCCCACGCTCAGCACACCCCGAAGCCCCCTCCGGCCAGGGAAAGGAGCAGCCCGGCTCTTTGTCCCCACACGTGCCAAAGCCACCGGAATGATGGATACGAGCACACGAGGGAGGGACAAAGAGCACCAGTCCTGGCCAGGACCCCCATGCTTTCAGCTGTGTGCAGAGGAGGATGCATTTCAGCAGTGTCACCCCAAATCTAGATGGAAACATGTGTCCCCATGTGCTCACGCACCCCTGGGAGGGGATGAGCTCAAGGAGGTGATGAGCTCAAGGAGGTGACGAGCTCCAGCTCATGGGGGTGGTTAAATCTTCAAAGATTTCCAAAGGAGAGTTTCTGATAGCTGACACCCTGAACATAAATAGGAGCAGCAAAAACCCCACAAAGGGGCCGGCCGCAGGCCCCAGCGCCATGCTTGTGCCCGCTGCCACCCAAGCAGCTGATGAAGGACACTTCCCTAAGTTCTGGCCATGTTCTGGGCTAACTGCCTCACTGCCTGCTTCAGGGAAAGCCCTAAATCTAATTTGGAGCAATTATAACCAGGATGCAGTCAGCGGCTCTGCTCCGAGGAGCTGGCGAGCAGCAGAGGGCCCTGCACCTCCAGGTCCCCTCCTGCGGCTGGGGGGGGGGGTCTGATTTCAGCCCCCACTTCAATATATTAAATTGTCCCTCACAGCAAGTAGGAGAGCAGCCTGGCAGGGCTTAGGGTCATTCAGACAAGGCGTAGAAATGGATGTTTTCCCTCACCCAGGCCCACCAGGGGAAGGTTTCCAGGCCACGGCC